GATCTATAGTCCAGACTATAGACTGATCTATAGTCCAGACTATAGACTGATCTATAGTCCAGACTATAGACTGATCTATAGTCCAGACTATAGACTGATCTATAGTCCAGACTATAGACTGATCTTAGGAAATTGATCTATAGTCCAGACTATAGACTGTTCTTTAGGTTAGACCATAGACTGATCTATAGTTCAGACTATAAACTTATCTATAGAATAGATTAAATACTGATCTATAGTCAAGACTATTGAATGATCTTTAGTCCATACTATTGATAATTTTATAGTGCGGACTATTAGCTGCTGAATAATTCAGACTATAATCTGATGAATAATGCAGACTATATACTTATCTTTAGCCCATACTGATTTATAATACGGACCATATACTGATCTATATTTCAAAAGTCATCTTGAGATGACAGATAATTTCTTTATTAGTTCTGAGTAAAAGCTTTGGATCAACCCTCGTATTCACCCATTTTTTTAACCAACATATGGACCGCAAGATATTCAGACTTAAACTTGCATTTGAGAAGAAGATGTATTTATACAACTCCTTATAAAGTTTATTACTTTTTGTGTGTAACTCTTACTTACTCCCATCTTAGTTTCATGCATGCATGAGAGTAGAGTTTAGTTTGTTTGTTCAGTTTAAGTTCAATTACGAGTGAATTACAAAATACATATAAAAAAGTGCTGAAACAAGTGTTTAGTCAGGTTGAAGCGTTTGTTTAGATACATTTTGATCAAATGCATTTGTATTGGTACAGATATGAGTAAATATTAAGGGGGCTATTAATGGTTCCATATCGAGAGAATACTTTTCAGAGTCGACTGATCAGCTGTCCAGATGTTTGACAAATCTGTAGTCCAGTATTTAGACTGATCTAGAGGCAAATCTGTAGTCTAGGATATAGAATTTTGGACAACAAATAAATTCGTGAATTTATCGTTTATGCTCTTAAATTAGTAAGATTGACATTTACCATAATACAAACGTTGAATTCACCCTAATGATTACAAACTTTTAAAAAGATGTTGGTGGTTCTAGCAATTGTTTGCGGCTGCTCAAAATGATTATGATGTTATGGTGGTATTGGTGTTGATATTGCAGTGGTTATTCCTAACCATGGGTTTTCCTTTTTACTTCCAACTATTATTCTGCAATTTTTTCTAGTTTTCCTTATTTTATAAGTTTATATTGCTCATATATATGAAAGAAATGAATATTGTGGTTTTGATTTATGCTTTTTAAGATATTAGAGAGACTCAGCTAATACGTACACACAAACTTGGACACTTATGTGGCCGTCCGCAACATTTGAAAATGGGTCACAGCAATTGTCTGTAATTATGTGATTAGTTAAACTTTATATGGTTAAAAATAAAATGAAATTCCATTGTTGATTATTGTTGGTAATAACAACAACAACATCAGCAGCATAAGCAAAAAGAGAAAACTAATTTTTAAAGAATTTTCGTCTCGTTGCACTTTGAAATGCATATTTGTAAATGGCTTAAGATATAAATCGATTAAAATTTTTGTTGGTCAACCATATATATGTGTTTGTGCAACCCACAATATTTATTTTTTTTCTGAGACCTTTTAAATTTACTTAATATTTTGTATTTACTGTGTCTAAGAATGAGGCAAAGTTTATTTAGAAAAATCTGTAAAATTTTAAAATCTTTTTAATTGATTGCATGCATAAGATACTGTTAAGTAGTGTGGGAATAGATAATTAACTCTAAGTAACTAGCAAATATCCCATAATTGGTAACACCTCTGGAAATAGGTTGTCTATAAAATAAGTCAATATAGTCGCAGGACCCTTTTGAAATTAGAAACGAAGCTTCTATGGCCATCGTTTATGACTCAAAGATATTTTGTTAGTATTGTCATAATCTGAACTATGGTATATAGTCTAGTCTATAGTATAGTCTATTGTCTAGTCTATAGTCTTGTCTATAGTCTAGTCTATAGTCTAGTCTATAGTCTAGTCTATAGTCTAGTCTATAGTCTAGTCTATAGTCTACTCTATAGTCAAGTCTATAGTCTAGTCTATAGTCAAGTCTATAGTCTAGTCTATAGTCTAGTCTATAGTCTAGTCTATAGTCTAGTCTATAGTCTAGTCTATAGTCTAGTCTATAGTCTAGTCTATAGTCTAGTCTATAGTCTAGTCTATAGTCTAGTCTATAGTCTAGTCTATAGTCTAGTCTATAGTCTAGTCTATAGTCTAGTCTATAGTCTAGTCTATAGTCTAGTCTATAGTCTAGTCTATAGTCTAGTCTATAGTCTAGTCTATAGTCTAGTCTATAAGTCTATAGTCTAGTTATAGTCTAGTCTATAGTCTAGTCTATAGTCTAGTCTATAGTCTAGTCTATAGTCTAGTCTATAGTCTAGTCTATAGTCTAGTCTATAGTCTAGTCTATAGTCTAGTCTATAGTCTAGTCTATAGTCTAGTCTATAGTCTAGTCTATAGTCTAGTCTATAGTCTAGTCTATAGTCTAGTCTATAGTCTAGTCTATAGTCTAGTCTATAGTCTAGTCTATAGTCTAGTCTATAGTCTAGTCTATTAGTCTAGTCTATAGTCTAGTCTATAGTCTAGTCTATAGTCTAGTCTATAGTCTAGTCTATAGTCTAGTCTATAGTCTAGTCTATAGTCTAGTCTATAGTCTAGTCTATAGTCTAGTCTATAGTCTAGTCTATAGTCTAGTCTATAGTCTAGTCTATAGTCTAGTCTATAGTCTAGTCCTATAGTCTAGTCTATAGTCTAGTCTATAGTCTAGTCTATAGTCTAGTCTATAGTCTAGTCTATAGTCTAGTCTATAGTCTAGTCTATAGTCTAGTCTATAGTCTAGTCTATAGTCTAGTCTATAGTCTAGTCTATAGTCTAGTCTATAGTCTAGTCTATAGTCTAGTCTATAGTCTAGTCTATAGTCCTAGTCTATAGTCTAGTCTATAGTCTAGTCTATAGTCTAGTCTAGTCTAGTCTATAGTCTAGTCTATAGTCTAGTCTATAGTCTAGTCTATAGTCTAGTCTATAGTCTAGTCTATAGTCCTAGTCTATAGTCTAGTCTATAGTCTAGTCTATAGTCTAGTCTATAGTCTAGTCTATAGTCTAGTCTATAGTCTAGTCTATAGTCTAGTCTATAGTCTAGTCTATAGTCTAGTCTATAGTCTAGTCTATAGTCTAGTCTATAGTCTAGTCTATAGTCTAGTCTATAGTCTAGTCTATAGTCTAGTCTATAGTCTAGTCTATAGTCTAGTCTATAGTCTAGTCTATAGTCTAGTCTATAGTCTAGTCTATAGTCTAGTCTAGTCTAGTCTATAGTCTAGTCTATAGTCTAGTCTATAGTCTAGTCTATAGTCTAGTCTATAGTCTAGTCTATAGTCTAGTCTATAGTCTAGTCTATAGTCTAGTCTATAGTCTAGTCTATAGTCTAGTCTATAGTCTAGTCTATAGTCTAGTCTATAGTCTAGTCTATAGTCTAGTCTATAGTCTAGTCTATAGTCTAGTCTATAGTCTAGTCTAGTCTAGTCTATAGTCTAGTCTATAGTCTAGTCTATAGTCTAGTCTATAGTCTAGTCTCTAGTCTAGTCTATAGTCTAGTCTATAGTCTAGTCTATAGTCTAGTCTATAGTCTAGTCTATAGTCTAGTCTATAGTCTAGTCTATAGTATAGTCTATAGTCTAGTCTATAGTCTAGTCTATAGTCTAGTCTATAGTCTAGTCTATAGTCTAGTCTATAGTCTAGTCTATAGTCTAGTCTATAGTCTAGTCTATAGTCTAGTCTATAGTCTAGTCTATAGTCTAGTCTATAGTCTAGTCTATAGTCTAGTCTATAGTCTAGTCTATAGTCTAGTCTATAGTCTAGTCTATAGTCTAGTCTATAGTCTAGTCTATAGTCTAGTCTATAGTCTAGTCTATAGTCTAGTCTATAGTCTAGTCTATAGTCTAGTCTATAGTCTAGTCTATAGTCTAGTCTATAGTCTAGTCTATAGTCTAGTCTATAGTCTAGTCTATGGTCTAGTCTATAGTCTAGTCTATAGTCTAGTCTATAGTCTAGTCTATGGTCGATCTATAGTCTAGTCTAGTATAGTCTAGTCTAGTCTAGTCTATAGTCTAGTCTATAGTCTATAGTCTAGTCTATAGTCTAGTCTATAGTCTAGTCTATAGTCTAGTCTATAGTCTAGTCTATAGTCTAGTCTATAGTCTAGTCTATAGGCTAGTCTATAGTCTAGTCTATAGTCTAGTCTATAGTCTAGTCTACAGTCTAGTCTATAGTCTAGTCATAGTCTTAATCTATAGTCTAGTCTATAGTCTAGTCTATAGCCTAGTCTATAGCCTAGTCTATAGTCTAGTCTATAGTCTAGTCTATAGTCTAGTCTATAGCCTAGTCTATAGTCTAGTCTATAGTATAGTCTATAGCCTAGTCTATAGTCTAGTCTATAGTCTAGTCCTATAGTCTAGTCTATAGTCTTGTCTATAGTCTAGTCTATAGTCTAGTCTATAGTCTAGTCTATAGTCTAGTCTATAGTCTAGTCTACAGTCTAGTCCTATAGTCTAGTCCATAGTCTAGTCTATAGTCTAGTCTATAGTCTAGTCTATAGTCTAGTCTATAGTCTAGTCTATAGTCAAGTCTATAGTCAAGTCTATAGTCCAGTCTATAGTCTAGTCTATAGTCTAGTCTATAGTGTAGTCTATAGTCTAGTCTATAGTCTAGTATATATTCTAGTCTGTAGTAGTTTGCAAAAAGTCTCTTGGTATATTAGCAAATCAGGTGATTGTCTTAACGACACCTTTAACAACTCTTTGTTTATTAACTCACTCACTTTTTAATAGTTTAACCTTTCGAACAATCATAGAAAACAATAACTTTGCACAAATTCCACCACCAACTGCAGTTTAGTAAGAAATAAAACAAGTTTTATGTCATGCAACGAAATGAAAATCGAAATGAACATAAATTATTGTCATAACAATTTCTTGGGTACTCTATTCGACAAATATTTAGACTTTAAACCATTAAATTTAAATTCAGTTGCTTGATTTTCAAACCACAGAACGGTCGGTCAACTGAGAAAAATAATTGTTTCGCAGACCATATTTTCTATTGAACAAATTGACGATGTTTCTTAACATTTTTATTAAAGTCATTATAACATTATTATTATTAATAATAACAACGATATTTAATAACTGTAAATTATTAAATGCTTCAGGTGAGTTAATAACATCTTCTTCTTTTTCTTGACTATCTTTACTACATGTGGCTTTTCGAATGTTATTATTTTTGCTTGTTATATAAAATTGCCCAGTTATAGATTTTAATTTTTTTAGTACTTGAAAATTATGGGCTGTAAAATGCTGGTCAAGTTAATAAAAATGTATGAATAAACAAACAACAACAAAAATATTCATGTTAAATATCATGGTTAAATAATCAACTTTCAATTGCAACGTTAAGAAAATAACTTTAATAGTTTGTGTGTGTGTTTTTTTTTGTTTATGGGTGTTAATAGTGCAACAGGTTTCTTTTGAAAATTAGTGGTTTTTAATATTTAGTGCCAAATTGTTAAAGCCTGCAATTAAAAAACTTTGCGAATGGGATAAAAGGTGTTAAAGAATTTAAATTGTGGAAATACATATGTATGTATGTTTATAAATGTAAAGTGGTATATTTTGAAAAGGTACTGCAAATGGAAACTGAAAATAATAATACCACAAAAAAATTACATCCTTTATTTCTGGGAATTTACTTGAAAATAGTTCGGCTAATGTCAAAAGTTCAAAAATATGCTTTTAAATTACACAAAACTGAAAAGGTACCTATTTTTAGTGATCAATCATATTTTCCATAAAAATCAATAGACTGGATCCGACTACACTATAGGCCAATATAAGAGAGTAGAACATAGAATAGAATACAGACTAGACTATAGATCAGACTATAGGCCTGACTATAGACTAGACTATAGACTAGACTATAGACTAGACTATAGACTAGACTATAGACTAGACTATAGACTAGACTATAGACTAGACTATAGACTAGACTATAGACTAGACTATAGACTAGACTATACTATAGACTAGACTAGACTAGACTAGACTAACTATAGACTAGACTATAGACTAGACTATAGACTAGACTATAGACTAGACTAGACTATAGACTAGACTATAGACTAGACTATAGACTAGACTATAGACTAGACTATAGACTAGACTATAGACTAGACTATAGACTAGACTATAGACTAGACTACAGACTAGACTATACACTAGACTATACACTAGACTATAGACTAGACTATAGACTAGACTATAGACTAGACTATAGACTAGACTAGACTACAGACTATAGACAATAGAATATAGACTATAGACTATAAACTATAGACTATAGACCAAAAACTATAGACTATAGATTATAGACTATAGACTATAGACTAGCCTAGAATAGAATAGACTAGACAAGACTAGACTAGACAAGACTAGACTAGACTAGACTAGACTAGACTAGACTAGACTAGACTAGACTAGACTAGACTAGACTAGAGACTAGACTAGACTAGACTAGACTAGACTAGACTAGACTAGACTAGACTAGACTAGACTAGACTAGACTAGACTAGACTAGACTAGACTAGACTAGACTAGACTTGACTAGACTAGACTAGACTAGACTAGACTAGACTAGACTAGACTAGACTAGACTAGACTAGACCAGACTAGACTAGACTAGACTAGACTAGACTAGACTAGACTAGACTAGACTATAGACTAGACTATAGACTAGACTATAGACTAGACTATAGACTAGACTATAGACTAGACTGTAGACTAGACTAGACTATAGACTAGACTAGACTAGACTAGACTAGACTAGACTAGACTAGACTAGACTAGACTAGACTAGACTAGACTAGACTAGACTAGACTAGACTAGACTAGACTAGACTAGACTAGACTAGACTAGACTAGACTAGACTAGACTAGACTAGACTAGACTAGACTAGACTAGACTAGACTAGACTATAGACTAGACTATAGACTAGACTATAGACTAGACTATAGACTAGACTATAGACTAGACTAGACTAGACTAGACTATAGACTAGACTATAGACTAGACTATAGACTAGACTATAGACTAGACTATAGACTAGACTATAGACTAGACTATAGACTAGACTATAGACTAGACTATAGACTAGACTATAGACTAGACTATAGACTAGACTATAGACTAGACTATAGACTAGACTATAGACTAGACTATAGACTAGACTATAGACTAGACTAATAGACTATAGACTAGACTATAGACTAGACTATAGACTAGACTATAGACTAGACTATAGACTAGACTATAGACTAGACTATAGACTAGACTATAGACTAGACTATAGACTAGACTATAGACTAGACTATAGACTAGACTATAGACTAGACTATAGACTAGACTATAGACTAGACTATAGACTAGACTATAGACTAGACTATAGACTAGACTATAGACTAGACTATAGACTAGACTATAGACTAGACTATAGACTAGACTATAGACTAGACTATAGACTAGACTATAGACTAGACTATAGACTAGACTATAGACTAGACTATAGACTAGACTATAGACTAGACTATAGACTAGACTATAGACTAGACTATAGACTAGACTATAGACTAGACTATAGACTAGACTATAGACTAGACTATAGACTAGACTATAGACTAGACTATAGACTAGACTATAGACTAGACTATAGACTAGACTATAGACTAGACTATAGACTAGACCATAGACTAGACTATAGACTAGACTATAGACTAGACTATAGACTAGACTATAGACTAGACTATAGACTAGACTATAGACTAGACTATAGACTAGACTATAGACTAGACTATAGACTAGACTATAGACTAGACTATAGACTAGACTATAGACTAGACTATAGACTAGACTATAGACTAGACTATAGACTAGACTATAGACTAGACTATAGACTAGACTATAGACTAGACTATAGACTAGACTATAGACTAGACTATATAGACTAGACTATAGACTAGACTATAGACTAGACTATAGACTAGACTATAGACTAGACTATAGACTAGACTATAGACTAGACTATAGACTAGACTATAGACTAGACTATAGACTAGACTATAGACTAGACTATGGACTAGACTATAGACTAGGCTATAGAATAGACTATAGACTAGACTATAGACTAGACTATAGACTAGACTATAGACTAGACTATAGACTAGACTATAGACTAGACTATAGACTAGACTATAGACTAGACTATAGACTAGACTATAGACTAGACTTTAGACTAGACTATAGACTAGACTATAGACTAGACTATAGACTATTATTATTATTTAAATATTTATATTTTCATGTGTTGAGATAAATTCTTTTTTGTTGGTTCTAAATTTTTGTTTCTCTTTTCACTTAAATAAAATGCGAAATTTTTGCAAAAACAAACAAAATAAATGTTTCCTGTTTTAATTATAAATCATCAGCAAACAATACTGGGAAAAGATAATGCTAAAACTAAATAAAAAATAAACACAAAACACATGTTCTTTTATATTTTTTTGTGGCCAATGAGGGTCAAGACTTATGGCCATAGATGTCACAGATAAACGAAAAACTATAAGTTGGTTATTTTTGCTGTTCTAATACTCTCCCATATAGAGTTTTGGTTCTTATGTGTGTTAAAACTAAAAAAATTAATGTTAAGAAAAATTATGGTCAGAAAACACATGTAATAATATGCAAAATTTGTTTAGGAAAGTAAATATGGCCCCTACGCAACTTTGTTGTTAGTGTTTAGAGGTAAGGCAGGTTTAATATAGGGTAATAGGTAATATAGAAATACCCTAACATCCTTAATGCGAAAAAAACTTAATTTTTTATACAGTTTTCATAATATTTCTCACAATAATGTAGATGTAGTCATTATAAGCCAAATGCAGTAATATCTATTGGTAATAATTTTAAACTTAATCCATAACACACATAAATATTGAATTTATAATCATCTTTCCCACAAACATTCCATACCACGGCTGTCACAAATAGAACCACAAACCTTAATAGACCATCAAATTGGTGGGTTCAAGAAAAAAAAAATAATAGAGAAGAAATATGTAGGTCTTTGGAAACATAACATAAGTGGTCACTTGGTTACTAGGTTCTTCTTTTCATTTCGAAACACAATAGATAATCATTTATTTTTTTTTTTTTTATATTTTGCGGCTTTTGTGTCCGTGTCCATGTCCATGTTTTCTGATGGTGATAAGGTGTGGTTGTTGTTTGGTGTTTGTTGTTTTGCAGCAAAAAAATAACAATATTTTATATAAACAACAGCAGTTATTTAAAGGTTCTCAGTTCTTTTATCTTATTTTGGCAAAATATTACCGACATACACATGTGTTCAACAAGTATTTTAAAGATCGAAACAAATTCAAACTTAATAAACGTTTCTTTATACTTTGCTGCAACAAAAAAACGTAAATAAAAAAACAACATGAATTAAGATTGATGAGTGTGCCAAATATTTTTCTTATTTCGCGGTTAATTCGTTGAATGGGTTACACGGTGTACACAGATACACTTACATACAGGCGAACACATATAAAGGAATATTAGGAGAATATTATTTCAGTTTTATACACGCGCTCTGCTACCCAATAGGGAACTTTTGTGGACTTTAGTCTAATCAAATTCATACAAAAAGTACATTCCAAAAGTTTCTTTTTCACAAAAAACTGCTATCATTCCAAAAACTATTTCCTACTGGGACTATATCTAACTTATCATTTATCTTATTTCTTTGTTAGCGAATTTCGAAAATTCCATTTATACTTCTATACTCCAACTCTCTCAGTATCTCTTATGTACAATTTAACTTAAGTTTACCTTGATTTATCGACATTTTAACAAATTTTATGTATTGACCTTTTGTTTAGGCAAAAGTGTCTAACCCCTTTGAGCGATTATGGTCAATAATGCGAAAATTCTTAGTAACAACAACAAAAAATGCCAATAAGTTCCTGATAAATGAGGCATTTAACATACATAGATAATTTAAAGATGTTGCCAAAGAATAGAAAAGAAAGTTTGTGTGTCAAAAGTCATCAGAATCTGAGAGACTTATTCTACAAAAAAGTTATAAATAGAAAATTTATCACT